TAGAAAATAATAATAATTCATTTATAATAATCATTGAATTAAATTTTAGACACAGTAACGTATAATGTATTGAAAAAAAATGCAGATTCCGCCTAAATTGTTATTTACTTATCTACGTAAACGTATACATACCGGCACTGCTTTCTAGAAATTAATAAATTTACAACATTTAATGAATTATTATCAGACTATATAAGTAACATAAAAAATTATTATTTACTTATCTACGTAAATGTATACTTACCGACAGATTCCGATCCTAAAAAATAATATTCAGTTAGTTAAATTTTAGATACAATAACGTGTAATTATGATTATAATACTGTAATAAATGTAAAATTCATCTGAATTATTATTTACTTAAATGCGTAAAAGAATACATAGCGGCAGGTTTTTTTCCTGGAAAATAGTATTCAATTAATTAATTTTTGGATACATTAACGTATATTTATATAATGTTGTAACAAATTCAAAATTGTTCTTTACTTATATAGATTAACGTAATTTAAATAAAAATTAAGTTAGTATTATACGTTAAATTTAATTAAAAATAGAAATATAATTATTTCTATTAAAAGAATAAAAATATTATGTAAATTATTATTTATTATTTTGTAAACGTATAAACGTTAAGTTATTACAGTCCAAAAAAAAAAAAATGTAATGGTCTTAAATATGTAAGAATGAATTATGTTTTTTTTTTTTTAAATACTTATAACGTTTTAATAATTTATAAAATGAGTCTTAGATTACCAGTCAAAATGTTTAGCAAATTATTTAAGAAGTTAATCAAAATATGTGTTGAATTAAATAATAGCTGACACAATAACGTATTATACATTGAAAAAAATGCAGAGTTCGCCTAAATTATTGTTTACTTATCTACGTAAACGTATACATACCAGCACTGCTTTCTAGAAATTATTAAATTTGCAACATTTAATGAATTATTATCAGACTATATAAGTAACATAAAAAATTATTATTTACTTATCTACGTAAATGTATACTTACCGACAGATTCCGATCCTAGAAAATAATATTCAGTTAGTTAAATTTTAGATACAATATCGTGTAATTATGATTATAATACTGTAATAAATGTAAAATTCATCTGAATTATTATTTACTTAAATGCATAAAAGAATACATACCGACAGATTCCGATCCTAGAAAATAATATTCAGTTAACTTAATTATAGATACAGTAACGTATAATTATATTATATTCTAAACAATGAGTAACTATTGTTTACTTATCTACGTAAACGTATAAACGTAAAGTATTTTAGTCAAAATTAAATTATTATAGTACATAAAATTACAAAATAAGTAAAAGTATTACTATTAAAGGAATACAAATATTATGTAAACTGTTTATTATTTTGTAAACGTAAACATACCTTGGATTGCTGGCGGGCTTGCTAAATAAAAAAATCAAGTTAAAATAATCCAAAGTGACCAATACAATAAATTTAATGTACAATTATATCAAACAAAACTACGTTGGGTTCATATAAGATATGATAATTATTTATTATCAAAACGTGTACATACTTTTTTCAGTTTCTTTGCTTTCTAGAAAATAACAAAATTAATAAATTAAGGTTATTATAGTCTAAACATTTTTTTTATATTTTACATATAGATAGGGTAACAGGACCAGTGAATGAACACCTAAGGATTTTCAAATTTTTTAATTACATAACTCTATGTAATAGAGAATTTCTGGACTCAAAGTATATTTGTATCATATATCAAAATATTGTGCAACATTAAAGTCACATATTTATTGTGTTAAAACAAAGCATGTTTATAAAAAAAAACAAGTTTTCCTAGCAAATGAACAGTAATCAAATAATGCACCTATGATAATATAATTTACAGTGTTACTTTATCATAATTACAATAGTGTTAAGCTAAATACATCACTGTATTAAATCGATGTATGCCTTATTATTTAAATAAAACTGGAGAAGTGTTCATTTTATGGACCTGTTCATTCACTGGCCCTGTTACCCTACATGACGTTAAATTGTATTAATTTAAAAGAAGGTAGAAATATTTGACCAAACGACGAAAATGGTTTACAACTCGTCGTTTACCGAGACATTTGTGTTTCTATCATGGTGGAAGAATAAAAATATTATGTAAATGACTATTTAATAGACATATTTTAAAATAACCGATAATACGTTATATTAAAATCTTTCTTTTTTGTACAGTTCTTTTTGTAGGAACGAAGCTTGGAACTGCTTCTTTTAAAAATAAAAGAACGAGGAAAATGAACGAATTCTTTTTTTTGAGGAACGTGAACGAAAATTACAGTTCCTTAACATTTTTAAAAACCTATTTTAGTGTAGTTTTTTTTGTTTCTAAGCGTTTTAAATAAGATTTCGACTGTTGATGAAGATTATTGTTGACCGTTTTCATATCACTACTGGCAATTGATATTTATAACTGATATTTATTATTTATTATGTTATAGTTTATAGTTATAAAACATATTATATAGATAATAGATTGATGCCTTTTGAATAGATGCTAGTATATTTAAATTTTAATAAAACAAATTATGTTTACTTATTTTTTGGAAATAGTTATTCATTTTGTTTTTCCATTCCCCATATTTTCGACTTATTGATGTACCTATAATTTTGAATTAGATTTAAAATTTAAAATTTAAAATTATTTAATATACTCATCTGATATTAATGATTTTAATATAATGCCTCCAATGATATTAAATAAATAATTTGACGAAAAACGTAATATCTTGAAATCACAAGATAATTTTAACCTGATAATCAAATTCAAAATAATAATTTCTTAAATAACTTGGTTAGCAAAAAGGAACGAAAAGTGGAACGAGTTCTTATTTTAGGAAATGAACGGGGAACGGAACGAGTTCCGTTTAAAAAGGAACTTTCCCAACACTGTGACCTATGTACTATACTATTATACTATTGTACTACACTATTAGTGATCTTTTGACTTCTCTGAGAAGAAATCCATGGCTGTACGAGCCTGTTAATGTAATTTATATATGGACATTTAATTTAGGTGTTATATTTAAACAAATGTTTAGATAGCTATTCGAATTGAGCAAAACAAAACAATTACAAATTTCTAAAGACATTTTTCTATTATTTTATAAAGTGTTTTGTCTTAAAATATTCAATCTCTGTGAGGCTCTATTTAGGCTCGTTTTGGTGCAAACAAAATGTATTAATAAACGCTCACCTCCAGGATTTCCAGGTCTTCCGGCTATGACTGAAAAAAAAATTAAGATAATAACAACAACAATAATGATTAAAAGAAAACACACACACACAGTAAATTTCTCCACTCCGCAGAAAAACACATTGAATCATATTTTATATGTTTTTGGAGGTTGTAATTTGCTTGGGCGCCATCTAGTGGTAAAAAAACCACCGGTAGATCACGTCACACTAAACAATTTTCCGTCACTCGAATCGGTTAGGGGTCATTCCACGTGAAATCACCTAATGGGTGTGCGACTATACTTAAAAAATGTTTGAAATTTTTATCATACATTCTTTATAGGTCCTTAATAACAAAAAAATGAAAAAAAAATTGTTTAATTATTTTTTGGACCTAGGTAGGTCAATTTTTAAAAAAAATTATCCAAAAACACATCATGTTCCCGACTCTGTAATTTAACCGCCGATAGTGGTATAGACATGAAACCTGCACAGTTAAAATTCTAATTAAGAGTGCTTTAACCACATTTTAAGAAAATAATTTAATTTTATTTTTTAACCCTAGAAATTTTTTAATTTTTCAAAAACTTTTTTTAGGGTCAAAAAGTTAAAAATTAAAAATAAATATTTTGTTTATATAAAATTTAAGTTATGTTCTTATCATCTTTGAAACAATTAAGTTCTTTTTTGCTATTAATTTAGGACTTAACAGCAACCTCACCAATATGCCTACTAGACATACCGACTTTATAATAAATTATGCGCAGGATCGCCTCTGTACTTTTAAATTTAATTTCGAGACTGACTTAAAAAGTGTTTCAAATAACTGAACAAAAATGTTAGGGCCAATTTTACCAAGGATACATATAGTATTCACAAACAGTTACGTTTCAAAAAAATCCCACGTTTCCGATAGCTTTAGAATTAATTTAATTTACATGTTCAGAAAAATCATTATCTTCTGGTAATTACAAAACTCAAGTTACGGACTTTAATAAGACCGTGAACGTTAAGTTTGAAAATTATAAAGAATTATCACTGCGAGGCAGAATGAAAAATTATGTAAATTATGACTCGTTTAAATTAACACCCATAGTTTGACACCAAAGACTTGAATTATTTAAATCATGTGTAGTTTCACTATGAAATTATTAAAATTATAATATAATAAATACGTATTAGACTAAAAATTATAAATATTTAAAAAATGATTGTTTGTTACATTATTTACAATAATATATTTGTAAAAATGTATAATAAATTACCTGTAGTCATTACTAAAACAATAAATGACAAAACCACTATTCTGATAAGACTTTCTTTGAACGCCATCCTTAAAATCCGCTATTGCTCTGGGGAAAAAATTATACTTTGAAACGATATGGCTTCTACGGTTCGAGTACGACTTAAAACGGTGTAACGTACTTTACAGTGAAATTCGCCACTGAAATATTATTTATTTAAAGAAACCGCGAAAACAATTTTATTATTTGTACTGACCAAACTTTTACGCGTAAACAAGTCGTGTCTTATTTTTTTGTATCCAAAAGCTGTTTACTTTATTGAGTACAGGGTGATTATACATGCAGATTACTATATTTTTCAGTACTTAAAACATTTTTATCTTCATATCTTATACGTAATATAAGTATGCACTCGGAAAAGTTAGTACGATTCTACATAATATTAAAAAAAGCTAGTGTTCGGTGCTGCTTGTTTGAAATTCATGGTAATTTTTTTTTTAAATTTAAAGACACCCGTTATAAAGTTTTGTCGATGGCAGTCCTGCGAAGGCTGGAAGTCTATGCCGACGGTATAATTGGGGACTGCCAAAGCGGCTTTATGAGAGGGAAATCCACCACATACCCCATTTTTATTATCAGACAATTGTTAGAAGAGTACTATGAGTATGGTAGAGAAGTGCATCTTTGCTTTGTGGACTTTAAACAGGCGTACGACAGTATTATGAGAAAAAAATTATGGTCAGCACTGGAAGAATTTGGTATACCGACCAAATTACTCCAGCTAATAAAAGAGAGCAATACCGATACATACTGTAAAGTAAAAGTTGCGAATAAACTGCCAGAAAGTTTAGAAGTTAGAGCTGACCTAGGACAGGGAGATGCGCTTTCCCCTGTACTTTTCAATCTGGCGTTAGAAAAAGTAATTAGATCTCTCCCCGTTAGATAAATGATGGAAATTCTGGAAAGAAGAAGGAGAAGAATATCAAATAAAATGTCTAGAAGTTAGACTTGGTTAATAACCAAGTGTCGGGCTTCAGTGTTTGAAGTTTAATCGCTAGAAGTACACGCGGCATGAAACATTAAAGGTATATAATATGCGCAAGTGCTTAAGGTGTGGTGGTATATCAAAGTATGAGTATTATAAGTCCAGGGTGTAAAACTGAAATAATTACAATAGCATAACATGTGTAATGTATTATGTTATTGAAATAAATTACCTAGATAATATAGTATAGTTGTTTCTTTTTACATCATTCCAACCTAACCTTCCATCATTACATTTTTTGCATTTTCTTACAACTTTTATGATAATTTATATAGTAATTACAACTAAATTTTAACTTTTTTGATATTTTATACAGTTATAAATCTAAAATTATAAGCTTTTAAATTGATTACTAATTCTTATGATAATCCTTCTGACCATGCAGCCTTTTCTATAACATGTTATAAACTTTTTATAACATTGTACATTTAAATATATAGATACGTACATACGAAAACGAAAAAGAACAAAATAACTAAAGTAGATTAAAAAATTAATCTAAAAATAACGTTGTAGCGTATACATTTATTACCCTATGTATAAATTTGTATTTCAAGTTGATATGGTTTTATTAGCAAATTGTAATATGTTTGTGTACACAACACAAACGCGAAATCAATTTTTATATCAAAATAATGATTCGATTGTACAAAAACTAAGTGCGGTCATAAAATATTTAAATGAATCATTTATTGTCAAATCGAAAACAACAAACTTGAGAAATGGACAGTTTAATTAAAAAAGTTGATAAAATATATACGTTACCGTTTAAGTTTAAACAATTGATAAAGCTCGAGAAAATACTAAAAAATATGAAAATTTGAATATTGTCTTATATTGTAATATAGCGTGATCTAAAATGTTTTCAAAAAGAAAAACTAAAAAATTGAAGCTATTTTAAGAACAAACTAGTGTGAGACGTTAAGAGAATCACCGGGTATAAATCATAGAAATGTTACGATAGGCGATGATAACATGATGATTATACGATTATAGCTCCGTTTTATATTTGATAAATCATAGAAAAAACAATACATATCATGGACGAAACAATAACTGTTCACAAAATGGCAGCCTCCTATTAGTTAGCCTTTTCATAAGCAGCCGACTTAAGTCCATTAGGCGTTCCATATATCATATTGAGTTCAATGTTTGGTCGCAAAAGATTTTAATACAAGCTCTTTTTTTAAATATTTTAATTCTACAAAATTGACGTGAACAAGTAAATTAATAGCAGTTGTATTGGATCAATAAAATAAAACGACGTGTCTTTTGTCGCCGACGACGCCGAAACATTATAATTGCCTACACGAGGTGCTGTGTTACAAACTTAATACATATGGCCCAACGAGAGTTTTACCTTCGCAACATTTCCTAGGGAAAATATTATTACTTACTATTAATTACTTGGGATCCTACAAAGCACTTTTTTGATATCTTTTTCTTACTATGAATAAGAAACGTTTGAACATTTTATAAAATTTCAAATTTTTAAATCAAACTTGTAAAGGGTTAAAATTCAAAATTGAAAAAGTGCCTCTGAGATTATGCAAAATGTTGAAATGGGCTATAAAAATAGAGGAGGAATCATACACACACTGTTATTGAACACAACTATAATAATAAATCGGGTGAAAATATAGTAACCAAGTTTGAAAACTTGTACTAATGCAAAACAAGATATTTTTAATTTGCCAGATAGTAGAAGTTTATTATGAATTCGTGAAATACATGTTTTTGGTTTAGTAATAGTTTGGGTTCACAATTTAATTTTTTGTATTTATATTTATTTTGAAGCTGTATTTATAACTGTATATTTCTGCAATTTGGATTGTTGTCATTGGATCCTCTCTGTCAAAAAAAAAAAATATATAAACTTTATTAATTCATAGCTTAAATAGAATTAATTTTTATAATGTTACCTAGGTTAAAAAAAAAACAATGTAATTTAATTATGTTTTGTATTTTCATATAATCACGTTAACCTTTCTATGCCATTATCAAGACGCGGGCAAGGAATTGTTATGTAAGTGCCATCACATTATCAAGGGCGACTTGATAGTACTATGGCAAGAGTACTCTTATTGTGTAAACGTGCCTTTAATAACGTTTTCTTTTTTATTAAAAACAAATTATCTTTTAAAAATAATTAACGACTACCTACATTTGCACACGCATGGACTGCGGAAACATGTTTAAGCATTTGTATCTTAGTCCTCTTTCGTCGGAGTAGGCCCTATACAGGACTTTTCTGCGGCAGCTGAAACAACTTACAAGTAAACAAAGTATTAGGTATTATTAAAATATAACGAAGACTATAAATCAAAATTAATAGATGTAAAATTTTAAATAAGCACATAATGATGTATTTTAATCTAAGTTGCACAACTGCACTAACCTTTATGCCTAGTTACACAGGGTGATTTTTTTATAATGGGTCACTCAATATCTCATTGGGTTTAATTAATAATTGATTATTTTTTTCCATTGTGTTTTTATATAATGTGATCTTAATTTCTCACAAATTATTATGTTCCTACTCTCCTCCTTAACTAGTTTCTTTGATGGAAACTTTTGGAACATAAATATGTTTGAAACTTTTTAAATTTAGAATATTCTACTAAAAATGTTGACTGGTCAATAACCAGTTTTGGGTAATTGTTTTTGAAGTTTTTGAAGTTTCAAGTTTAGGGCAGGAGGAAAGGTTTAGTGTATTATAATTTTTATCTGGGTGCACTTATCCTCCTGTCCTAACTTTTAAACTTTTATAACTGTAAAAATAGTTATCTAAAACTGGCTATCAACCAATCAAAAAAGGTTGTAAAAAATATTACATAATATAAAAAAACTATGAAAAAAAAATTCAATTATTTATTAAACTCAGTGAGATATTGAGTGGCTCATGATAAAAAATGTATCCTGTATAAGTTATTAATGATAGCATCACATTAAATATAATTAAAGTAGAGCTCTATCACATTTTCAAAACAGGTATCCGTTAAAAGCTGTTAATTAAAAGAAAAATTAGCTTTAATCGTGAATATTTTTGATATCATAGTTCAATTGTGCTAACAAAACTTAATTAAACAAAGTAATAGGTGATGAGAAAACATACTTTTTCCTGCACGGCCTAAAAACAAAAAAACAAAAAGCATTTTTCATTTATTTGAGAACTTTTATTAACCAAACATTTTTTATAGTATATGTAAGAAAATAATAGCTTTAAATATAACATTTTTTTACACGATTTTAAAACTGTTAGGAGGGTTATTATTCTAATTCTAGAAGAAGAATATTAACACATCTCATGTGTTGCTGGTGGTTTTAACTTACACAGTTACAGAGAAATAGTTCGATGAAAAACACGGGAAAAAGAAGGACAATGACAAGATAAAGAACTGACTTAATAGTATAAAAAAAAAATAATTATATTTTAAATATATAATAAAGAACGTGTACATTACGTAATTACTTCTACCTATACTTTACTTTGAGTACGGTTTAACGCCTTCTCTTTTGACTTCTCTTCACTTGACGATTTACCACCTAAACCTTGAGGTTATACAAATCAAATTAATGTTTTGCTAACTTTAAATTAATGTAAAAAGTCTTTAATTTTCTGTTATATAATATTGTTTTCAACAATGTTGAGTAATATGTATAGTTCTAAAGAATTAAATTAATTTTCAAAAATGTTTTAAAATATGTGTGTCAAGAAAAAGAACTAATTTAATGGTATACAAAAAAAAAAAATGATTTAATTAAAAAATAAATGTATTCAATAATCTATTCGCAATTATTAAGTACTTTTAATAGGACTAAAAATAAAATGTAAAATAAAAAATATTATTTTTACAACATGTATTTCTAAAAAATAGTAAAAAAGTAAAAAGTAAAAAATAACTTTACTATAAGAACAATTTACCAATCGGTTGTAACACCATTTGCTTTTAGATGTCAATTACTTTGAAAACAAGGGATAATTAACTACAATTCTAAAAAAAAGTTAAACATCTTTAATTTTTGACTAAAAATGAAAGCTTAATCTCTAATCAACTCCAAATTCATTGATTTTTGTAGTATTATACAACTTGTTTAAATTGTCTTAACAATTTTCGATTATAGAACTATTAACAATCCACATTTCAAAATAAAATTATAAAAATCAAATTAATGTTTTGCTAACTTTAAATTAATGTAAAAAGTCTTTAATTTCCTGTTTTATAATATTGTTTTCACCAATATAGAGTAATATGTATACTTCTAAAGAATTAAATTAATTTTCAAAATATATGTAACAAGAAAATAAACTGACTTAACGGTATACAAAAATAATAATTAAATACTTAAAATATAATAAAGAATGTGTACATTAGGTAATTATTAACTCTACTGTCTAAACTTTACTTGAAATACGCTTTAACTCCTTACCTTTTAAGTCACTTGACGATTTACTACCTAAACCAACAGGTTATAAAAATCAAATTAATGTTTTGCTAACTTAAAATTAATGTAAAAAGTCTTTAATTTTCTGTTTTATAATATTGTTTTCACCAATATAGAGTAATATGTATAATTTTAAAAAATTGAATTAGTTTTCAATATTTTTTTAAAAATAAATGTGACAAGAAAATAAACTGACTTAATGGTATACAAAAATAATAATTAAATATTTAAAATATAATAAAGAATGTGTAAATTAGGTAATTATTAACTCTACTGTCTATACTTTACTTGGAATACGCTTTAACACCTTCCCTTTTAAGTCACTTGACGATTTACTACCTAAACCAACAGGTTACAAAAATCAAATTAATGTTTTGCTAACTTTAAATTATTATAAAAAGTCTTTAATTTTCTGTTTTATAATATTGTTTTCACCAATATAGAGTAATAAGTATACTTCTAAAGAATTAAATTTATTTTCAACATTTTTTTAAAATATATGTGACAAGAAAAAGAACTGACCTAATGGTATACAAAAAAAAATGATTTAATTAAAAAATAAATGAATTCAATAATCTATTTGCAATTATTAAGTACTTTTAATAGGACTATTAATAAAATGTAAAATAAAAAAAAATTATTTTTACAACATGTATTTCTAAAAAATAGTAAAAAAGTAAAAAGTAAAAAATAATTTTACAATTAGAACAATTTACCAATCAGTTCTAACACCATTTGCTTTTGAATGTCAATGAGTTTAAAAACAACGGATAATTAACTACAATTTTAAATAATGTTAAACATCTTTAATTTTTGTTTAAAAAGGAAAGCGTGATCTCTAATCAACAAACTCCAAATTCATTGATTTTGGAGTAGTATACAACTTTTATAAATTGTTTTAAAAATGCTCGATTATAGAACTATCAACAATCCACATTTCAAAATAAATGAACAAGAGATTTAGGACGTCTAATTTAAGTTAGCTATAACCGTGATTATTTTTGGTACCACAGTTCAATTGTGCAAACAAAATTTCATGAAACAAAGTAATAGGTTATTAGAAAACATACCGAATTTGAATGTTGAACACCCAACGTCTAATACACAAAAACAATTTTTAATTTATTTGAGAACATATTGTTAAACAACAAAACATTTTTAATAGTAAATATGTAAGAAAATAATCGATTTTAAATATAACATTTTTTACACGGCTAACATTTTCTACAAAAAAATAATTACATTTTAAAAATGTAATAAGGAATGTGTACATTAGGTAACTACTAACTCTACTGTTCATACCTACTACAACAGAATGTTTTAACTTCTTATCAGCACCTATAATCCAATAAAATATATATATCAAATTAATGTTTCCTAACTTTAAATTGACATAATAGTATTTAAAAACATAAAAATTAAATGAGTTTAATTAGAAATCATGTTTTATACAATTTTTTAATACTCTGGTGCAGCATTTACATAAAATAAATAAATCTTTAATGACATTTTTTAGACTTATCTGGCCTAGAATCATTTTCATCTACGATTTTTTTTAAATATTAACCTTTGAAAATTTATTAAAATGTCCACATTTTATATTTTTTGTTAGGAAACCAACAGGTTATAAAAATCAAATTATTGTTTTGCTAACTTTAAATGAATGTAAAAAATCTTTAATTTTCTGTTATATAATATTGTTTTCAACAATGTAGAGTAATATTTAAAGAATTAAATTTATTTTCATAAATTTCTTAAAATAAATGTAACAAGCTATTGATTAGTTTTCTTTGAGGTAGTCAAATTATCCATTATTGCTTCAATAACTGTAGTAAGGACTCATACTGGCTGCTTGTTTAGAAATATCGTCATTTTAAAATGGTATACATATAAATAAGTAAGCACGGTGAGTAATAAAAACAGATATGTATATATATGGCCCAAAACGCAAAATATGAACGATCTTTCAGGCGCCGTGAAATATTTTGAAATTTACCATCCATGTCTGTTTTGATGAAAAGAATATTTTCAATTATTTTAGCCATAATCGTGTAAAGTATTTTAAGTTTTTTTTGTTTACTTTGTATTTATCATTCTTGTATAGTATCTACTGCCATAAATATAAAACTATTAAAAAAAGGTGTCTTATGTAAAATTATCTAAGCTTTCTGAAAGAATATAGATTTTTTTTTTTGAGAAACAGAATGTTAATAATTGAGTTTATAATTTTAATAAAAACAAAAAAGTACATTAACTTTAAACATAATTATTTCAACTATTTTGATTACTGTGATTTTTTTTTCAATTGCACTATGCAGCTTTCTAAAAAAGATGAGAAAATTTCTCAAATATTGGGCAACACGGAAAAATAAACATTTTAGATTATAAACTTAATTAAATGACTTTCTGTTACTCGAAAAGATCCATTATTTTCCAAAAGAAACTAATTTTTAACAAATATTTCTTATTTCCGAAGATACTATAAAAAAATGATTAAAAAAAAAGAGTAAAGGAAAAAACTAAAAATATGAAAACCAATTTATATGATAAGAACCAGAATAAAAGAAAAATAATTGATTTACTGTCGAAAAACATTCTTATTGTCGGAACACACATGGAGGTTGAATTTGGAAAAGTACCGCGGGGGAGTGCTCCAAAAGGTCGATCGTACTTGGTGTTTTGACCCATTTATTTTTAAGAAACAACGTGAATTTACTTAGCAACTTTTTTGTGTCCTCATTTTTCTCACCTAACCAACAGATAACACAAATAAAATAACTGTTAACTAACAAAATATTTACATAATTTTGTATAGCAAAATACAGTCAAGTACATATCCTTATTTACACGTATTATTACTTTCCTAGACGCAGTTTTTCATAATAAAATTATTAATTTTATCAAATATTTTGTTTAATTTTGGTACCGTGTAAATACTCCAAAAACATAATATGTACAATAAATGTAATCTTTAAGAGTACTGTTTTCTACTTTTAGATCTATATTATCCAATAAACTAGCTGTATATAATTTATAAAACATACTTGGATATGGTCGACCTTGTGTGACTATAATATATATACAACAAAATTAAGTTTCAATACAAATTCATACTCGCGTATATAATAATGAAATGAAAATAATTTCTTCATGAAGTTAACTTCTTTCAATACAATTTGTCATTTAAGTAGAAACCATACATGATATAACTATGGTAATTATAGTGTTGAACCTGAGAATGTATTGTAAAAAACTATAAATTATAATTACCCAATGCTAATTCCATCATAATAAAAAATACAAATAAAATAGTAGATTTTTTCATATTGTACTAATGAATTCTTGTTATTCTGAAAAAAACTTCTACGATAGACGACGAATTCTACGATACACAACCTAAAAATGTACAGAGAAAAATGTAAATGTACATAATATACATTATTTAGCAAGATTTATACTATGTGTATAGTGACAGATTTATTTAAGTATGATGCAAACGGCAATGTTGTTTGTGAATAAACAAAACAGTACATGTGTCCAAAAACCCTGTTGGATGGAGCAAACATTATGTTAGCAATAAACATTTTCGGTTAACGTTAAAAAATAATATTTGCCTTATATTTAAAATATTCCAATGTAACATATAAAACCGGTGTATTTCTCTCAATTATTTTGTAAAACTGCATACATAGAATAATACATTTTACTGCTATGTACTATTGTAACACTACATTTTTATTAAAATAAACTAAACGCACATACACTGAGTAAGCTACAAATCTCATTGCTATGACTCATCTTATCCCCGATTTTACAACAAACAGTGAACAGAACGACTGATATGTCCTCAACAGCCACACACTCTAACAGTCTCTATTTATTGAAGTTTAAAGTTCAGGGTAGGAGGAATTAGAGTGGAGTGAAGTATTATTTTTATCTGAGCGTATTTTCCAACCACACTTTCCTCCCATCCTAACTTTCAAACTTTTATAACTTATTGTTTAATTAACATTTTTAGTACATTAATCCCAATTAAAAAATTAAAGAAATATATGCGTTACCATTTAAGTTTTAAAAGTTTTTATCAACAAAATTAAGTGGGTAGGAGGTAAACACAACATTTTTTTTAAGAAATAGAGATCACATTTTATAAAAACATTATGAAAAAATAAAATTCAATTATTATTTAAACCCAGTGAGATATTGAGTAGTTCACGGTAAGATGACCATTCTGTATATAAAATGTAGATTATTTCATTTTAGGTCCAGCTAAACCTAATCACAATACATTTCTAGTTGGACTAATTAAAAAGTTGGTTCATTTAATAAATAGTATGGTCATTATAAGGGCATATTTAGTTGGGCCAACTTTTTATTTATATATTCCACCTAGAAATGTATTGTGTCCCTATCTATATTATCTGACGGATTATGTTGAACCAACCATGTATTTTTTTCTGTGTAGGAGAATGGTATAAAATCAATAGTAAAATCGGAATATGGCACTATTTTTCTTATAATAATTGTAATTTTTAGTTTTTCCTTTTTAAAATCATTTACAATTACCTAATTTGGAAATTTTTTCGGATCGAAAAAAAATTAAACGAATACAGTATACGATTTTTAACAAATGGTACATAAACTATATTGAAACAGTTTTATTTAAGTAGGACGCAAGTGGCAATGTTATTTGTAAGATAACAGAACGTTCATGTTTCTAAAAAGCACTTTAGCCGAAAAAAAATATTTCGTTAGCTATAAACAACTTTGGTTATTGTTGTATAAAATAATTATAAAATAATTATCCAATATTTCAAATATTTCACATATTTTTTTAACAAAATAGGTGAAAATATTTAATATAATAATATACCGAACCTCAAATCAGAAAATCATTGACGAATAATTTTCTTATTAAAAGCAACCCGTTGAAATAACAAAATATATTAGGCACTAGATGTACCTTTTGTTAGCTATAAAATTGAGTAATTAAGTAACTCTCCAAAAATTCATAGTTGGTCCAACTAAATTTATGGTTAATATAAGGGCACAATACATTTCTAGTTGCACAGGTTTAATGAAAAGGTGGCCCAACTAAAAGTATGGTTATTATAGTGGCACAATAAATATCTATTTAAAATAATAAAATATAAAGTTTTTCCAGTAAACATTTAGTTGGATTAACTATTTATTTATTTATTTCACCTAGTAATGTATTACGTCCCTATATATTATCCTATATATTGTCCCTGTTTATTATCTGACGGATTAAGTGGAACCTACCATGTATTTTTTTCTGTGTAGGATATTGGTATAAAATCAATAGTAAAATAGAATATGGCACCATTAAAAAAAAAAACGTTGCTTAGAAATTTTCGTACACATCTCTCTAGATTAGTTCTATTTTTACCCACCAAAGTACCAATCGTATATGATTAAGATCTATAAAGGCGCCACTCAATTTGATCGGTACACAAAAAAAAAACGTAATATTGACTTCAGACACAAAAAAAACACATCCACATACGACCTATTATTTAGTTATTTCAACTGGAAATTTACTTTGGCCCCATAATAGCCATACTTTTAGTTGGACCAACCTTACATTATACCAGTCGAACTAAAATCGTAATGTGCCCTTATATTACCCATAGATTAAGTTATTGTATTTTTGGAAGAGTTCTTTAATTACTTAAATTTATAGGTATCGCAAGGTACATCTTGTGTCCAAATAATTTTGTTTTTTGAACGAGTTACTTTTAATAAGAAACTTATTTATCAATAGTTTTCTGCCTTGAGGCTCAGCGTAATAATATATTTAACATTTTGACCTATTAGGTTCAAAAAATATGTGGAATATTTGAAATATTGGACAATTATTTTATACGACGATAACCAAAATTGTTTATTGCTAACGAAATATGTTTAATGTGTTTTATCTGGGTCAAGTGTTTTTTAGAAACATGAACGTTCTGTTATCTTACAAATAACATTGCCACTTGCGTCCTACTTTAATAAAACTGTTTCAATATAGTTTATGTATCCAAAAATTGTTTTTGCAAACAAAATATTTTATTAGAATTTAGTGTTTTTAGATAAATTAACGTTCTGTTATTATACAAATAGTACACTATATTTCGACTCAAATATGTTTCCAAAATAAGTATTTGTATATGTGTTTAAAAAGGAAACCTAAATAATACAATTATTTTAAGAATAATAGTGTCATATTCTTAATGTATCATCTGTATATTACTTAAAATATAAAATTGATATATTTTTACTATTGATTTGTATATCACTCTCCTAAACAGAAAAAAATACATAGTTGGTCCAACATCTATCGGATAATATAGGAACTCAATTAATTTTTTATCGATATATATATATATATATAAGTAAATATTCACTGTTCGGGAATCCATCTGGTACTAACTAAGCAAAACTTTACACTCTACGATCAATTCATGAGATTAATTGTTCATAAAGAAATTAAGATATTAACTATTCACAAGAATATTGCACTATAGACATTTTTATATTTAATTATTAATAGATTAATTAATGGATTTATATAACTGGTAAAGAATTAATAAATATATGTAATAAAGTATTTGTTTGTATATTTTTCAATTTTTTTATTATACTCTGATGGATACAAATTAGCTCTTTCCTACACCTTATATTATGTTAATAACTTAAAAAGTTTATAATCAAACCTAATATTAAATCAGTTTACTATGACTTTATAAGTAAACTAAAAATTTACTATTTTTTAACTTGAATATCGAAACAATTTTACAAGATTAATTCAGTACGGAAAGTTGCAGAAATCGGTTAATGTTGGTTTAAAATAATTATGCTTTAGATTAGAAGCTCGTACACGCCTATTTTAATTGACAGAACATTATGGCGGTACTATTATTATTGAATATTTATAGTAAAGTTATTAACGGGTTATAAAATGTCAAATTATTGGCAAAAAATAAAAAAGTTCAAGTGACCGACTCTACGTTGTTTCTACATTAAAAAAATGTAGACAATTACTCGATCGTCGTATGCTTAAAGTGTGTAGATCGACTCACCGAATTCATGTTATTATAGTGATAAACATACAAATTAGGTCAACCGTCAAATAGTAAACTATTCAATACAGTCAAATTAATGTTCACTAATAATGATAAAAACGTTTGAAATCAAAATACGGCGCTATCTATTGGATGCTGACCCAACCTAGATAACAAAAACATGTTGGAGTGTTGTGACTTGTGTCTGGTGTCAGTAAGCTAATTTTTACCGCCATCTGTTAGAAACTTATGAAACTTCCAAATAATTACAACCCTTTGTCCTATAATAAACATTTAATTTGCAATAAATAAATATTGAGGTCATTAATCGAGATAAAACATTTTTCAGCCGAGTCTGAAACAACGAAAGAGCATTTTCATGTCTCGTTGAAGTACCGAATAAATTTAGAGTAGTGGTGAAATTATAAATAATGATATAGTATATTAACAAGGAGTAACAAGCTGCTAAGTTTAAGCTGCTTTGTATAAGGTGGCTAGTAAGTATATCAAGTTTCAGGCTAATATTTTAGTGTTTAATATCTGGCTTAAAACAATTTACAAAAATATGACCTCTTAAATTATTGAACTCATATTAGTTCAGTTCTAGTTTGAACGTTGTTAACACAACATATATGTCTCTAACCCCCCCCCACCCATGCCCAACCCCATTCAATTTATAGTATTTTACTGTTATCTCCTACCCCCTATCTCTTATCTCTTCCCCTATCTCATACCTCTTAACTCCTACCCCAGCTTGAACACTTGCATGTTCCATCTTCAGGGCTCCGGTTTGATGTTGCTTGTAACGTATTCTCCCGTAGACTGAGCGCTTCTCTTTCGGGGGCGTGGGTTATATACCGAACCACCCGCCGTAGTCTCCGCCTCCTCCTCCCGCTGCCAGCTGTTTATTTCGGCCATACCCTTTCGCTTTGGCCGGCTATCGCATGACTGATTTTCATTTCCGTTATCAATAGTTTCTTGTTGTATTTCCGGTTCTCTCCGTTCTATTTCGTCTCCGGTTTTCTTTGGTTCTCTTTTTAACTCTGGTGTATCACTGGTTTCCAGGTTTTGCTTAATTTCCATCCGTCTTCCCGGTTGAAATTTCATGTGCATTTTTCTATTTCTTTGGCTACTCTCACTGTGTGTTTTGCATGACGTGTTGAACGACGGTACTTTTGGCACTGCAGCTTACAGAAAGAACACGCACACTGATCGATACTTGAATAGTTCTCAGTCACATCACTGTCCCAAACAAAAAGGGAATCCTTCACATATTGGCCACGCGAGCTGTTCGTATTGCTGATAAGTGATAACGAACATATAGAAGAAGAAAAGCAGCACTTCAGACAGATGTT